TGGGAGCGAGCCGGAGGACTTTGTCTTAAGAAGCAAGACTAGTTTCCTTGGCGGAATTTGAGTAAACTCAAATTGTATTTATTTAACGAAGAATTTTTAAATTTAATTAGAAAATTGGTTTAGAGCTATAAAACTTGGTAGCTTTATGTTCATCGCTCATGTGTCTTATTAGTTAAACCTTATAATATTTTCTTTTTATACGTAGCACTTCTTGAATGTGTGCCGAGTAATTAACTACAGTAATCAGCAGCATTTAAATTCTATCAGATAGACCTCCGTTTATTTATTGTACGTACATACGTTTCGCAGAATCTCTTTAAATAAAACTTTTCGTACTTCGTCAATTGTTCTGTGCATTATAGGTTTCTATTCTTCAAAATTGTAGATATAACAAAATTGAAATAAATATTCATGGACTTTATTACATGTGTTTAGCAGGAAAGTGTTATATATTATTTTGTTTTTTTAATAAGGTATGGCTTAGGGTAGATTATATAAAAGCTTCTTTCGTTTTAAAAAAATTTTTAAACCATGCAATACATTTAACCATATTCAGTAAGATGAGAATGTTATTGTTTGTTTCTATTTAATTAAATTTTATTAATTTAATCTATCACAGCTACGGAGCCTAACCACAACATGAAGTTCTTGCACTGCTATCATAGTTGCGGTGCTTAATCACTAAAAATAAGGCTCTTGCACTGCCTTCTATGGCCATAGAGCCTAATCACAGCATGAGTTCCTTTTGCATTGCTATCGCATCCATGGAGCCTAATCACAACATGAGATCCTTGCACTGCTATTATAGCTAAGGTGCTTAATCATCAAAAATGAGGCTCTTGCACTGCCCTTACAAGTTGGGATAATGAGTTTACATTAGCTACGGATATTGTATGTGATTGATAACAATAGCCGTATGTATGCTAAAAATAGGCATATCAGATACGTGTTAATGCATTTATGCGTTAAGAGAATTTGAGTGGTTTACTTTGCGATTGATAACAATGACCAATATGCTAAAATAAGTATATGTATTAATGCATTTACGTGCTAAGAGACACACATTGGGGGATTCAAAGTTAACAAATAAGTGATGCATTTTGAAAATAAATAGGATTTTTACAATAGCATTTTTACTATGTTGAATTATAAATCGGAAAAATAAAATAAAATTTTCAGATATTAGCTTTAAAATCCCCTATTTATATGTATTTGACGATACAAGTAGTTGTAATAATAGGGGGTTTCAAAGTTAAAAAAAAAAGTAACATATTTGAAAACAAATAGGAATTTGAAAAGTCTTATTTGGGCTTCAAAATTTTGAAATCGGAATGTGAAATAGGAGTGTCTGGAGATCTCCATTTCATAAAATCAGAAAATTTTTGAAATCAGTATAGTCATTATTACATTATCATTATTATAAATATTACTATATTATTATTACAAATATTGTTGTATACAATATTCTATATTACTTTACAAAAAAAAAAACTTTCATTCAAATATTCAAAGCATTTTATTTCTTTTAAAATATTCAGATATTGTTAAACTGTCAATAATTCAATAATGCCTCCAAAGAGAACATTTAAATAAACCACCAAAGAACAAAAACTTGCAATGGTCATATTTGTAGAAAATCCAAAAAATTGATCTATTATCGATAGAAAAGCAGCAGTTGGTGCACCAGTTGGTGGGAAACCTGTAACAAAAAATGCAAGATTTGCACAAATGGCATCATTTGTAAACAAACGCTATAAAGATAGCCAGTAGAATGCTAAAATAGCAAATGGCCGTTGGTGTATATATAAAAAGATATATATGGAAACTCAAAAGTTAGCTAATAAATCTGGATGGGGATTAACTGAAGAAGATTATAAAAAAGGGATTACAACTATAGAAGCTAAATTGGATGAATTATATTCATATTTTAGCCAAATTGACACTATTTATGGAGAAAAACAAAATGTTCAACCTTCTTTTCTTGAGAATTTCAGATTAAATAATGAAGATAATATAAGTAAAACTTCAATGGGTAAATATAAATTTAATCTTTATAATTAATTTAAATTACTATTACAGTACTATTATTAATTATAATTTTATATACA